ACCGGTGTATATTTTTCCAGTGTGGAATGAGCAAAGAATGAAGCCACAGCTCTCGATCTATAAAACGACACAGGTTCTTTTTGACCCAGTCATGTTTTAACAAACTTATTATCAAAATTTTCCCGGAAAATAGTATCCCAGTTATTGAATAATGAATCTAACATTTAGATAAAGATATTTGGCTACCGTGTGAAAAAATAATCAGCAAAAGGAATACCTGCAAACTCGATACAGATAGCTCTGCTGCTTTGTCGAGGTTTTCAGGATATTTCTGCTTGACAAGGGAGAAAGAAATCATTCAATAATATAAGGACAGGTTTGCACAAGGACTTAATTTAATTTTGCTAAAGCATTACATTGCTCCATCCGAGCAACAGTGCAGTCGTAAGATCTCCAGTTCCCTGCCATCAGGCAAACTCATAATATTAGTTATATCAGCCATACAGGATAAAAATAGTTGCATGTGAATAACGCAAAAAAGGAATTCTAGAAGATAAATTATATGTTGTCAAATATCTGCATTTACAGAAAAAATCAGTTAATTTAACCCAACCCATCCCACCCCGCCTGCGAAATTGCACAGGAAGGGGAGGGATTTTAAAAAGTGATGTGCACTTGGCATCTCCAAATCAGCCATGTGTCAATTTTGTGAATGAAAAAAAATAGAACACTTGTCAAGTTCAGCATCTAGATTCTAAAAGTGTTCCAAGTATTCACAGCTTAATAGTTCATCTCTTGACCAAAACTCAAAACATTTCTATACATATCTACTAAGGAGCTCTAATAAAACACAAGGTATTTCTACCAAACCTAGAGCAGAAAGCTTAATAATAGCAGGTTTCATTAATAGCTATACAAATGCACGCACCACGAGCGAGACGGAAACATACCGTGAAATAGGCAGGAATTTTGGAAATCAAAATCTTGAATTGCAGAGATGGACCCTATAACAATCGAAGTTGTAAAACAATAGTGGAGACACCTTACAATCAAACCTAGAATAAATCCCTAAGAGAACATTAATAAAGCCGCGGGACATTGCATAAAGAAAACTTGGCTAAAACATGCTTGAAATGAATGCTACAGTAAAATATTTAGGGCTCGTTTGACATGACTTTGCTTTTGCTTCCTATAGAAGAGCTCTCTCAAAAAGCTACCTTAATTTTTGTTTGGAAACTAACTTCTAAAAGAGCTTCTTATTTCGAAAGAGATTTTAGAAGTCATATTGGGCCAACTTCCTCTAAAATCTCTTTTAGCTAGAAGAAGTACTTGCATAAAATTAGCCAAGCAGATCCAAAAGTCATGCCATATGGGCCCTTATTCCATCATCTCCTTATTTTTCTTTCTCACATTTCAATAGTGCAAGCAAAATGCATTCATTAATATCTATTTGTAAGAATCACTTATTTTCATACCTTCTCTTTCTGATGACTGCCAATCAGCAGAAGATTGCCATCTATGTTTATGCTTGTAATCACAACCTGAAATATGACCCTAAATGATGTAAATCTTAGAAAGAAATAGAACTTAATCCAATGTATGATTTTAGTAATTTTTCTTGCTATTACACAAAATTCATCTAAATCTCACAGGAACTCTAATTATGATGCCTGATAAGGCTGAGCTTCTTGAAAAAATTGTATACGTCACTAAAAGTACAAGGATGTGTATTTCTCATAACATCATCACATGGGAGAAGACAAATAAACAAACTTCATGATCAGATATACAAAGAGAGCAGCCAATTGACAGATTCCCACAAAATAATCATCTATATTTTCTCTACAATATAAGATCTCTCTCTTATTTTCTAGACATGGTTAAAAGTTCACAAGAGGAATATTTGCCCTTTTTCTTAACATCAAACTCGTTCATAAAAACAACAGTCATAAGTATGCTTAGATATACATTGTTAAACTAATGCAATTAAGAGTAAATAGAATAGTACGAGAAAAATATGTCTAATTGATGAGGACAAGCTAATAAATCTGAATTCGATTGAGCTTCAAGAAACTACATTATATTATGGCATATTTGGGAAAGTTGTCCATGTTTAAAAAGGTATGCTTTATGAATAAGTGATAAAGCAGCAAACCGGGATCAAAAGGCAGATTTTACCATCCATTTTGATTATCAGATTATATGTTCTGAATTATTTTAGGAGAAAGCAATGTTCCTATAGGAACACGATTTGTATTGGGTCTTTGTTTATATATTTAATGGAAAACAAAATGGTCCCAATAGAAATTGAAAAGGTAATAAGAAAGTGTTATCGAGCATTCAAGATGCTCGAATCTCCCCTAATTTTTTGAATGCCTCAAACTGACTAACATTCCCCCTTCTGTAAGCAATCTGCAATATCTAAATTCCCTATTCGACCCCTTCCCCTTCTCCCTCACACTTAACTAATTGAAAATAACAAAATAATTAAACATAAAAGGGCCTATCATGTTCATTTCTCGAAATTTTATCAAGTGAGGCCAAGAAGGATGTAAAAACTAAAATGACACTACAAGTTATACTAACCAATTGTCTTGCGTGAATTAAAGAGTAACTAAAGAAGTTGGTTTCTAAGCATCAAAAATCAAATGCAATCTGCAAGTGTAATGCTCTTGAAGAAGGGACATGATCACAATAAAGGTAGAGAAAAGGAATTGAATGTCTGAACCATACCAGTCCAAGTCCTTATTATACCAGAAACAATATAACAGTCGACAGCAAATTATCAGTGAACATTGAACAATTCTCGACAGCAAATTATCAGTGAACAATTCAAGTAGAAGTTGGATAAATTGGTGTATGGATTTATATTTCGCGAGTCAAAAATACGTGCACACAAAGAAGATAAAATCGTGACTTACACTTACCAAATATTAAATAGATTTTTGACTTACCGAAACCATTATACGACCATAATAACTAGCAAATCACGACATACTAAAATGTAGAAATGAGAAGGAGATAAAAAGTAGAAAGGTATGCGAATGCAAATCTACTTAAGACAGATTTCGCCCCTACACATGTGCTAATAGGATCAAATGGACATTTATATCCCAAGATACAACGCTTCTCCCAAAATTAATATAGCACAGTATTAATTTTGTTGGATGAAACAACAATTGATAGTTTTCTTCTAGAATGAAATATATCGAATACGATATTGAACACGAAAACTAAAAATAATTCGGACATTATTTTGACATAATTGGAGAAAGAAAAAATTAGAAATCAATTATACAGAATTGATTTGGAGTGAAGAAAATGAAATTAGAAGGGTCCTATTTTTAAATTTCTATGTGTCACTTCCTAAAGGTTGCATCTTTTGGCAAAATCAATTCCAACAATTAGACCACACATTTTCAAGATTGATGGTCTAGATTTCACCCTATCAAAATGTCGATATTGTTTATTATTGTACCTTTTATACTTGAAGTGTTGTATAGGAGACTTTTCCAATTCACACATTTTAATCCTTACATTATCCTAAAATTCCAACAGTAGATGTCCTATTTACCACTTTAGGCTGTCCTTCCATGTGAATAAGTTGCTAATAAACACAAAACGAAACAATAACTCAACTTGCACCAATCATAAAAAGAAGCACATCATGAGCAACCTGATTTGGAATGTGATCTTTGTTACAAGTGGATCATGACATTATTCGACTACAGAAATAAATTTTAGGATGAGAAAGATTTCAAAAGGAGATTGAAGAGGATAAAAAAAAATATCAAGGCCAAAAAATTGCATCAAGGAAAGGCTTGGGAAACAATTGAAACTAATTTTACTAAGATTTAAGCACGAGGACAAACCTTTGATGGTCCAGCAGCATGAAGAATGTTGCAAGCTTCCCTACCATCTTGTTCAGATGTGATCCTGCGACAGAGAAAACCCACCATGGAAGGCAACATGGGCTAAGGTAATGGCACAATAAAATTTGCATAGCAAGACATGCTGCATCTTGATGTTGACAAAATATACAGCCATGTAATAAGACTTCTTTATCATGATGCAAGTACATTTCTGAATTTGTATATAAAATAGAAAAGAATGAACTACCCACCCAAGATACTGCAAGTTGACATAGATGGACAACACAGCAGCAAGGGTGTGGGTCCCAGTCCAATGGCAGTTTATATAAACTTCAAAATCAACAAATGATTACATATGCTCAACTCTCACGATCCTAACTATACCTCAGGCATCATTTCTTAGAATGCTGCTTTTGCTTCAAATTTTAGTAGTGTACCCACGGTTCTAGGAAAAAATAATTAAAGGTGCGTAGTAGAAATAGCAATTTCATATATTTTGAAAATCCAGCACAAAATTGCTGTTTTGTTTCACACTAGGCCACCGCTTCAACAGGCAGTAAAAATTTAACAAGATCAAGATAATAACATCCTCATAAACAGACATACACTCGATCAGCTTCATAACTTGTTAGGCACTATTTAGATGAAATGAATACCTTAGCCCAGTTAACTGTTCAGCCTCAAACTGATTAGGAGTCAACATCGTAGCAACAGGGACAACCTATTTTGAAGTAGCACTTTAAAGCATTAGCCATTAGAGTTTAACAGAAAAAAGATTAAATGCAAGTTAACAATTAACAACTCAATACAATTAAGTTTATCCCATTATTATTTGGAGCCAGCTATATTTACGAAAGCATCTCAAAAGTCAAACTATAAATGGCAGCAATGATTCAAATACCTTTTAGTTACCTCGTTACATGTTATTTGTACAATTGGGAATAAAGCATTTTCTTGAAAAATGAGATTATATTTTCTTCTTTTCTTTTCCCTTTTCTATTAACAAATAACTAAGATTTGGGAAATATATCCCATGTTCGGTTTTTCTAAAGAATAAATTTTTAGTAGATTTTGATAAAAATCGATGAAATGTATGGTTAAAAAGTTGATAAAAATTGTGGGTCCCAATAGATGTGTGGTTGAAAATGAATTTGGGAAAAAACGAGTTTTGAAAAATGGGAACCAAATAGAGGCATATATTTCATATTTCCAAGAAATAATGCAGAAAGATACTAGACATAAATTTACTTCCTAAAAACTTTCTTTAAGTTAAGAGAATAGTAATTATAAGAACAAAAAGTATATAGACTTCAAACTTGAATAGTGCATTTCCAATGGACAAAGTAGTCAAAACATGAAACATGAAATAATCATCATAGATTTCAACACTTTTAAAAATGATTGGAATTAGTTACACCTAGGAATTTGAGCTGTCAGAAATTACTCCATCGCTATTAAGGCCATTTGAAGAAAGAACGGAGAAGAAAACAAGGTCCAGCAGTACATCGCCCTCTAAATGCAAGCTAATGCATTAATTAAAGGGAAATCCACTTCCAAATAAGAGTAAGAAATACCTTCTCACGAAATACTGAAACCAGTTCTTGAGTGACATAAAGCTTTTCTTCGTCGCCCAACACTGGATCACAGACTGAATATACAGCATGTAGTGTTAGAAGACAAAATTTACATTGAGATCCACACTGTGCAGTATAAATACTTTATAAACTCTGTTACTACGATCACGATCAAAGACCTCTGCCCCCAACCAAACCCAGAAACAAGAAAACAAAAGACAAAGAGAGTATTTACTCACATGCAACTTCTATTTACTTCTATATAAAGTAGCAGCAGCTAAAATTAATGTATAAAATTAAGAATATGCAAATCCTGAATGTTGTTGCGAATATGAATGATAATGTTTTATCAGCAGGCACTGGTGTACTTACCATATGTAAGTTTGGGGTTGATAGATCTAAGCTTGTCGACAACTTTTAGGACAGTGTTCAAGAAGGAAATAGAGCCAATATAACCTACGATAGGCCATTATGAATTAAAAGTACGAGGCAGAGAGTAAGCCAACAAGGATTTATAGATAAACATATGTGCGTAAAAAAAGTTCGAAAAAATTATCAAAATAAGTTTATCTTTTAAGAAATGGAACTCAAACACATCTCAGAATTATAAAAATGAGCATAAGCTGAACATCAGGGAAAGAAAATATAGGTATTGCAAATCATTTTTCTGTCAAATACACAAGGCAGTAGACCAAATTTAACAGAATTAATTTGGCAGCAATGATAATTGAAGTTGTTTCAACTACATGTATAATTGTGGTTCAGCAATTTTTTGAGTGCTTTCAAGATACCTGTAAGTAGATGAGTATAGAATAACAAATCATTAGCCTCAAGACCCTCTATTAAATCCCAAAGTTTGTCTCCGTTCAAAACCTGGCCCTTACAAGATGGGTAGCCTGTACAAATCTCAGTTCGAATCAACGGCAAAATTATCTGTGTTTATCTCTAATGTAACATGCCTGAACATGTACAGATTCACAGATGACCTTGCACCGTGTTTCAGGAGTCAGACTGTTTGAATGAAGTGGTTTAAGCAGCTTGCCTGTGTGGTTCGAGAACTGTACAGAATTGATGGGGTCCACGTCATAGCCAAGTAATTGTAGAGGAAAGACAGCCGATTTGTTGCCAACATATCCCTAATGAGAAAAAGAATCTGAAATGATCTCAACATAAAGCTTACGATTTATAAATAGCATTTGTGAGATATATCAACAAAGCACTAGAGAATCATTACACGGAAGAAAAAGGGGGAAAAATATCCAAAAAGGCTATAAAGAATCAAAACAAATTGGCATAGCATAGTAATTAATAAGGATATCATGATTTATCTTTTTCTGTATGTAAAATGAATTATTGATCAATGAGGTGTTCAATACGGTAAAAAGGTTCTTATTTGATTGTTTACTCTCCTATAGTACAATGTGGCAAAATTAGAAAGGTTTGCAAAGAATGAAATTTACATGTGCCTGTATTTAAAGAAATGAGTATTAATTCTTCCTAAATCGAAGACATCCTTAAAAACAGCAAATCTCAGAATTGCACCATAATGGCACACAAATATGTTATAAGCATTATAATCATACGGTTGAAATAAAGACGACTGTCCAAGATATAGGCATGATCAATATCTTTCAACAGCACTCCTTCCTCACCCAAATACTCCTCATATATTCAAAAAACCAGCTACTCCAGACCATCAATGCATCCACACCAACAGAGTACATTTTCATAGCCCATATTTACACTTAAACACCAATTATTTCGCACAATCAAGAACCATTTCGTTCTAACTGAACAAAAATAAACACAAGCAACAAAGATAATATTCAAAAAAGGGCTCGCAAAATTGGTTTGAATTAATAAACAAGAAGCACCTGAACAGTGTGAGATTGAATACAGAGAACCCGACCCTTCTCCGATGGCAATTCTAAAGCAAGAATTAGCGGAGGTGCCATTGCCTACGTCTCTAAACTCCTACTCGATCTAAAAAAAATTCATTTCAAAAACTCATTACATAAATACGATAGATACATTACTTATACCATACAAGAATAAAACAAATAAACTGACCTGAAAATGCAAAAGCTCCGATTGGTTTTAGCTTCAAACAATCCAATGAATGTGGATTTTAACACAATAATTCGAGCAATCTACTTATACACACAGTACGGGTAGTTCTCTACCATTTTTCCTCTTCGACAATAATTTGTCGAGATTCGAAGGAGTTGGGAATTTCAAACTGCTCGTTCTTCAAGCGAATCTGATTTTCTTTAGGTTTTCACGTCGGATTTCATCAAAAGTTGAATAATAGTTTTAAGAAACTGTTTGACCAGTTTTTTAAAATTCGTTTTTCTTTTAAAATTATTTTTAATTATATATATATTTTATAAAATTCATAATTTTTTTATCAAATTTTCAATATTATATTTCATCAACTCAAAATATACTAAGGAGGTATTTGAGTTACATTATTTTGATAATAATACATTCTTGAATAGTATATTGATGGGAAATGTGTAGTTAAAAAATAAGGAAATTTTTTTTATTTACGTGTAATATTATTTTATTGAAAAATGTGTGATTAAAATAATATCAAATCACTATTTAAGAATGTATTTTTTTAAAATAATGTGCCTAAAAATAATAACATTATTATAAAAAATCAGCTTTCACATTTTCAACCTGAAACACGTTTTGCATATGAATTAATACCGATAAGTACAATCTTTTTTCCCCATATTTTCCTCGAAGACTTGCCTTCTATTGGTTGACTAAATAAAATAAATGGCACGAAGTTGATATAGTTTCCTAGGTTACTACTTCTGGAAACATTATTCACTTTATCACATTTGACAATTTTACTATATTAGGTAAATGACACATGGGGTATGTAGTAATTATGAAAATTGATTTTTTGATCGTTAGAAAAAAAAGTGGGTCTCACTTACCAGTAAAAAAGTCAGAATGATGACTGAAATAGTGAAATAACGATAAAAAAATTGATTTTTTTTGGATGAAAAATTGCTATTAAATGAAGGCATAAACTGGTTCTAATGATGAGTTAACGTGTTTGTTTTCTTAGTGAAAATATTGTAAACTATATAGGTTAAACTGACCCTTGACAAAAATCAATGGAAAGTATGAAAATAGAATTATAAGAATAGAATTTGGGATATGTTGAAAAAGGGAGTCAAAGTTAGATGAATAACTTTTTAAACTGGGCGAATACGTAGAAATTACAAGAAAAAATTGAAATGAGTTTGAGACCGACTTGAACCCTTAAATCCATTAGTGTAGAAACCTTCGTTAAAATAACAAATGAGACTTAAATGCGTAGTATTGAAATTTGGCTCGAGGCATTTTATCTTCCCTTAGTGTTGATGAGTTGAATGGAAGGTTTTGCAATTGAACACAATGTTCAATTATGGTTCTCGGTCTGACAAATCTTAGAAATAAACTCAGAGTAAGTTTCTGAGTTTTTTCGATGATTACTTCGTTGGTCGATGATTCAACAATTCTCTTCTATTGTCTTGGGTTCAAATCTTTTACTATTTGCCTTCCACTCTTGAAGTTAATCTTGCCACTTCTGGATCAAATAAAATAATACATTTTTGGACGATAATGCATAAAAAAAATTCAATGCTAGAGAGTACCATAGCCAAACTGTGATAGTTTATGAGTAAAAAGATTTGGGTTGTTCGTAAACTTACTTGTTGGTTAGCAAATGATTTTGAAACTTTAATAGATATAGTAAAAAAATTCGTCAAATCTGATATTCACGTTCGAGGAGGGGATTACCCGCTTAATCAGGGTATGGGGCAGGGGATTTTGCTCCAGAGTGGGTACGTGTAATAAGAGTCCCGTCCCGTTTAAGACTTTTGTTTTTTTAAAAGAATTTAATACTTTAAATAGAAAATTTCACGAAATTTCATTAATTCTAATAGAATATGACAATTAAGATTATCTAATAAATATGACAAATAATAAAAACGTTAGTTTACTAAATATAATTCAATAATTTAACTTTTAAAAATAAATAAATTAATTAAAATTTTAATAACTATATTATTGTCTCACTTTAATGAATGGGGGCACTAAAATGAATTAAAAAAAAAAAACTAATCGAGGCAAGAGTAACAGGATGGGCACGTGACAGGAAATTACTCGGCAGGACAGGAGCACAAACCCACCCTATTGCTATCCCTAAACTTTAAGGTTGATTTGATGGAGTTAAGATTGAAATTGAAATAAGGTTGGCAATGTAATTAACCATTAGGTTTTAGAGAGAATTTGAAATAACTAATTTGATTAATATTACAGAAAAATAGTATCATTAAATTTGATCAGGATCAAAGATTTTTTTGACCAACTTAATGTTGATTTGATGGAATCAAAGATTGATATTGAAATAGGTTGGCAATAGACCAAGTCAAGTGACACAAGCTCAACTTGTTGACCAAAGGGCTCGACTCGACCAAAGGACCCTACTGGTGACAGGTTGAGTCAGGTCAACCTACGAGCCTTTCAATTTAGTAGATAGAATTTTTAAAAATGTACAAAAAATTATATATAGAAAAAAGAAAAAAGAAATTTAAAGTAATTAAATAAAAAAAAGGAAAAATGTGAGAAAGCTCGTGGATTGGCAAGAAGTTGAGTCGGGTCAGCCTACGAGCCTTTCAATTTTGTAGATAGAATTTTTAAAAAATGTACAAAAAATTATATTGGGTAAAGAAAAATGAAATTTAAAGTAATTAAACAAAAAAAAAAAAGAATAAAGAAAAAAAGAGAATTGTGAGAAAGCTAGCTTTACTTGCGAAGCTCAACTTGGCCTATTAGCTTGTGGTGGAACAAGCCAGCCCGCCAAGCAAGTGGGAGCCCTGGGCCCGTTGCCACCGCACATTGAAAAAATTTGATGCTTTTTTTTATGAGAAGTGCTACACGTACACCGAGCTTGACAGCTCGGTGTACAGCCCCCTCTTGTGATTTTTTTATTGGATGTGAGCCCCCTTTTTTTGAGAGGGCTGTACACCGAGCTGTCAAGTTCGGTGTACTGACAGCTCGGTGTACAAGCATCAAATTCCTTTTTTTATTGATTAGTTGTGGATAAAATATTTGGAAAAAATCCTTCAAACACGAAATGGATGCAGCAAAAATGAAAACCACGGACAAAAAGAAAACACGAATTACACTTAGTTCACAATATTACTTGGATCATAAGAGCATGAGACTTTATTAACTCAAAAAAACCTCATAATACAATGCTTTTCTTATCATCTCAACCAATTTATTTTATTTTTTATTTTTTTATTTTTACATAAAACTAGAACATTCATTGTGCGTTAAAAACTTGCGTGCACAATTGTTTAGTTTTCTCTCTTTGAATAGGGTGAGTCATATTGTTATTTTCTTCTCAATATTAATAAAATACACTATCATATTGGTTTAAAAAAGGGATTATTCCATATGTAACGAATGACGTCCCTTTTCTCACAATGCATACAGGCCTTGCGTGAATTTAAAAATGTCAACATGTGGTCCCCGCCTCCTGTTGTGAGTAGTAGGTAAAAGGTTTGGTAAAAAAACATCGGTATGTGTAACATTGTTCTTAAAAAATTTCCGTCTTTCCCAATCAATGGTTGCACGAAACTATTGAGTTCAAGTGAGTGTCTTTCACTTGAAAGAATGTTTTTGCTCAGATAATTGACTACTAAGTTGGACCACTCATCATGAATCATCTCCATTGTACTACAGTACTTGCTCAAGCATAAAATGAACATTTACTTTTCACTTTGAATTTTAAGGAGAAGATTCAAAAACATATTTATTCCGACTCAGATGAAGAAATGCAATGGAGTACTGATATGTATCAATGTATCATGCACCCATAATTAACTAAGCTTGTACATTTATGTTGGGAATTATAAATCCTAATTTTATCCCAGCAACAACAATCAATTTGAATAAAAGAAAATAAATAATCAAGAACACGCAAAATTTAAAGAATAATATCAATAAAGCATTAATTTTTTTTTTGTTCGGGGGACTTCTCTCCCTAATCCCAGGTAGTGAGCCACCTGCTCCCTTTCAATCCCCACGACGACCTCACTGCAGTGGTCGATTCACAACCAGCTTGTGAAGCGACAATAATTAGGGCTCAACAATAATTAGGCTCCACAACTTAATAATATTTCACTTGGAGACTAATTCATCATCAACAACTCCTCATTCCTCAAAATATAAGTTCAACTGACTTGCAGACAACTTTTTTTTCTTGATCGGAACAGTCTTTATCAACATATCAGTCGGATTCTGACTTCACCGACTCCTTTCAAGTATTAAAATTTCATCCAACAGAGTTGATATGATGAAATGATAATCAACCTGTATGTGCTTTGTCCTTACATGATAAACAAGATTCTTTACTAAGTGAATAATGCTCTAACTATTACAATGCAACACACTCTTCTCATACTTGTGACCCAATTTTTCGAACAAAGATTGCAACCATATCATCTATTTATTAGCTTCAGTTATAGCAATATACTCAATCATTGTAGTGGAAAGAACATCTATCTTCTGCAACTTAGACACCCAACTTACTACTGTACCATCCAATGTAATATATATCCAGTGGTATTCTTCATGCCATCAACATTTCCCGCATGTCAGCATCTACATAGTCCTGTAATGCCAAACATGATTTTCTAAAACATAAAGTTGAACCCGAAGTACCTCTCAGGTATCTGAGAATCCACTTTATTGCCTTCCATTGTTGTTTGCTTGGATTGCTTAAATATCTGCTCACAACTCCCTATGAATGTGCTATGTCCATTTTGTACACACTATGACATATACAAGACTGTAAATGGCAGAGGCATAAGGCACTTGGCATGTAGGCTCGCTCTTGCTCTGCAGAAGGCTTATTTAATAAATTGAATTGACTGGGCCATGTAGGCTCGCTCTTGCTCTGCAGAAGACTCATTTCTTATACAACTATTTTGGAGCTTGTTTAAGACCATATATACTTTTTTGAAGTTCGCACACAATTTTCTCATTTTTCAGTATTTCGAAACCTTGTTGCTACATCATTTAAATTTCTTCCTCCAAATCATCATGAAGAAAGTTGTCTTTACATCCAATTGTTCTAAATGCAAGTCCTCCTTTACTACCAATCCATGTACTGCTCTAATTATGGTTAGTTTTAACGATGGAGGTAATATGTTAATGTATTCAAATTTAGGTTCTGATACCACTTGTTGAGAAATTATTTGGATCTAATATGTTGAATTAATCAATAACAAGCAACAACTCAC